ATGCTTCATGGGTGTCAACAATTCTGAGAAGCTTCTTTTAGAATTTCCGTCAGAACCAGTATATAAACCATACCAGAAAAATAGGCTTATTGCTATATAGAACATATTTCATAAATCCCCAAAGCTAAGGAAACAAATATGTGTGTAATGTTCTTAAGTTGACGCAGGGTTTATAAAAACTTCCTTTTATGAGTTTGACCTCCCAACATAAACAGTGACATCACTTCTTTAAGAAAATAAGGCACATATGTAGGGGAAAAGGCATGTTATCTGAGTCTTCATCCAAGAATGAGGATATGTTCTTATAGCGAAGAGCTAGCTCACTGGGGAAGCCCATAGGCAGAAGAAAATCTTAGACAGTAAGGAGGGGTTTAATTTTTATTTTTAGGAAGCAGATAAATAGATCTTAGATGACTGACAACAAATTTTCCAAAGAAAAGAATGAAGTCACAGCCAAAAATTTTTAGGAGTAGTGCATGGTGGGAAGAGTTTAGAACCAAGACTAGGAGTCAAACTCCAGTTGTGTAACTAGCTCTGCAGTCTTAGACAAATTCTCTCCCCCAGTCTTACTTTCCTTATCTGTAAATGGAGACACATATGCCAGGAGTTTTGTGAGGATTTACTGATGGAGCTCTGATAGTTTGGCTGTGTCCCCAACCAAATCTCATCTTGAATTATATCTCCCATAATTCTCATTGTTGTGGGAGGGACCTGGTGGGAGATTACTGAATTATGGCAGCGGTTTCCCCCACACTGCTCTCATGGTAGTGAAAAAATCTCACAAGATCTGATGGTTTTATAAGGAGAAATCCCTTTTGCTTGGTTCTCATTCTTTTTGCCTGCCGCCATCCATGTAAAACGTGACTTGCTCCTCCTTACCTCCCGCCATGATTGTGAGGTTTCCCCAGTAACATGGAACTATAAGTCCAATTAAACCTCCTTCCTTTGTCAACTGCCTAGTCTTGGGTATATCTTTACCAACTGCATGAAAATGGACTAATGTACACTCCGATTTCCATCCACCAATCCCTCCATACCACTTCCCCATCCTGGTTCCTCAGCTAAACATCTTTTCTTCAGGTTAAATAATAGAAAACCCTGTGGAGACAGAGGGTAAGAGGAAACCCTTCAGTAGCCATCAGGCTACTATCTTCACCTTTCTTAGCTCTGTAATATCAGAATATAAAGAATTCCTGGCCACTTTATCAGTCTCCTTGAAGAAAGACAGGAGCCAGTAGGCATTGCCATTGGTGTAGTAGACATTCCTGGAGCACTGTCATTTAGAGAAAGCAGAAGCCCATTTAAATCACTGAATCTTTTTAAGAAACTGAAACAAGTTAAATACTGAAGACTAGAGGACTGGTTGGACTGTGAGACATACCACCAGAATGCACATTCGTGTAGTGGAATTAAACACTGAAGAAAAATATTAAATGACATTGGGACATGTTCATAACAAACGAAGTAAAAAAGATTACCACAAAACAGTATATATACAAAGATTCCAGTTTTTTTTTAAGTACTTGATTTATGGGAAAAATAGGATATACAAAGTGTTAAAAATAAATTCTGGAGGGTAGGATTATAGGTACTTTAAGGTTTTGCTTTGCTAAACTTTATACAACATTTTAAAACATACATTTATAATTAATAAATGTAAGATTTAAAAAACAACTCCACAGGGCAGAATTTGTGTTTACCACCATAGAAACAGCAAGCATTTAAAGAAACATGGATTTTTCCTTAGTGGAGCAGAGAATTTGTAAAAGAGGAAAGCACCTCTCTAGATTCTTAATGTTTCCCATCTTTTTTCCCCTATCCTTGTCCCAGATCTGAAAGTAGGTGGAAAAAAAGTCAACCTGGTTCTTTTCCTACCCCAAGGTGCTCACTCAATGTTGAGTCTTACTGTAGGGGAATTTCACATAGTTTAGGCTTCCCAATACCAGAGGTTCCTGGCTCTGCCACTGGGTCTGTGCCCTCTTTGGCATTCACTTCCTGCCCGTTACCTCTCTGGGTAGCTGCAAGACGGCTGGGGAAATCCCAGTCTCATGTCCTTTGCAAGAGTCCAGGTCTCCACTTGAGTGGAGAACAGGAAAAAGAGGCAAGCACAATGCGAAGACTTTACTGAGTTCCTTAAATAAGAATACTTGTAAGTAGTTAAAATGCTTTACATTTATCATTACCATAATTGTTAAGAATAACAACTACCATTTATGAAATGCGTTCCATGTGCCAGGCACACACTACGTTATCCCATTTAATTTTCACATTGGCCATTTATCTCTATTTCACAGATAAAGATGCTGAGGCTGAGGCCAAGCATTTGCCTAAGTTCCCAGTGCTGGAAAGTGGCAGATGTAAGGTGCTTCAAAGATTGCAAAGCTATTCCAAAACTGCCTCCAAAATTCTTCACACTATTCTGTGAGGAAGATGAGGATTCTAAGTTTTAACTTTTGAAAGAAAGGGACAGACTTTAAGGTCCCTTCTGAGAAGTCTGCATGGCTGATCCATAACAGCATTTCCAGTTTTTAGTTTCAGTAAAGGGAGTCTTGTACTTAGAGTAGGTCAATGATGGGGGCCACACATAGGTCTATTATACCAGGTTACGGGTGGCAAATTTTAACCTGACCCTTAAGTAAGTAGGGTACAGTTGGAGACTAAACACTGGCAGCAAATAACAAACTCATGGTGTGTCCTGATACTGTGAAGAAAGGGAGACACTCCTGTACATGGGATATAGAACTAGCTAACTCCAGAGTTTGCTGGATGGAGGGAGCCAATGGTTCTGCTAGGCTAGCAAAAGGCAGAATAGCTGAGGTCTGTGGATGATGTTTAGATGGACAGTGGACCAATTCAACCATACCTGGAAAAGGCTAGAGGCTCTGTGCACAGAACTGTGAAATTATTTTGACCAGGTATGTATGCTATCAAAGAATAGTAGTTTATTCATGTCACAAGGAAGACAATTTTCTACTAAAAGTCCAAGTACCATATGGGTTAATAATGACTTTTTGATATACACTTCTAACAGAAAGGAAGACAAATAGACAACATAGCTGTAATAATTTATTGCTTTTCATTTCTTGTTTGGATGAGAGACTATATCAAAAGTTGATGATACTGAATTATTTTCATAGTGTCTATATCACCTACTATATCAGAATTGAATTCCTCATGATTGGTCCTCAATTTAAGTGAATATTAAAATTAATCTTAATTTAAAAAAATACATTGCTTTTCCAGTAAGGAGGAGAAGGCAGCAGGAAGAAGAAGCATTTTCCCAGAATTATATCCATTAGCAACCTTGGGTCCTAGTCCAAGATCTGTGCCCAACCAAGTAATTCTAAGCACATCACTTAAGCTTCACTTTCTTTATCTGTACAACAAGGAGCTAGAGTTTAATTTCCAAAGCCCTGTCAAGAACTAAGTCTGTATAAGTCTAATATTCTTTGGAGTTCACCTTTGCCTTAAGTGGGTTTACGATCATCTTTGTGAATCACAACCTCATTATTTAAGAATTCATGAGGGAGACAGCTCATTGAACAGACCAGGACACAGGGTTCAGTATATGATACTGTAATATAATTAAGTATGGAGAACAGTCTTGCAAAAAAGCAATGGTGACTCCTGAAATTCTGTTAGTCTCTGTGCATATATGTCTTACGAAGACCATGCTTGCTTGTGATGAAAATTTGCTTTTAATTCCTTCTTGACAGAATCACTGATAAAACTGCTTCCATCTTATATCAAAATGACTTATTCATAAGCCAAATACTTTTGTGAATGATTCTTAAAGGCAGGTGATGTTTGATATTGTTAAGGTTTTATGTGACAAGCCAGCATTCCAGGGGTATCCGTAGCAACAGTAAACGTAAATCCAATGAAGAGGTGCCCTTAAGTCCAGGCTAAGTATCCCTAAATGCCAAATGCCACAAGACACTGCCACTTGGGAATGGCTGTCTTTAGCCTCCAGAGTATGGATGGTGATGGTGTGCACTGACTAGGAGCTTTATTACACTACAGTAGAAAACTTTTTTCCTTACTTTGTCCTCACCTGATACTGAGAAAAGAGCAAGAAGGCAAATGTCTACGATTTGGAAGCTGCCTCTTCCAGCCGTTCTGGCCTCAACTCTAGTTAATCTTGTGTAAGTTAAATTCTAACTATCTCTAGATGGGACCTATCATCTGCTGGGACCTGTCAAGCCTTGATTAGTGCCCGCCCAGAAGTAAAGTTCTGTTCTTTGATATCCCAGGAGGAACTGTCATGCTCTAAGATAGATAATTAGAAACAGAACTGGCTACAATTGGATCTTAATGAGTTCAATACTGAGTGTGTCACAGAGTTTCAAATGTGGAAAGATGATCTTTTCAAATATATGTATAATTATTTTGAGGACTTGCTTGCCTGTCGCAAACCTACTGGACTTGTTATGAAGATGAAACAGGAAAAACAGGAGGACACGAAACATTACGTAGGACAGTTTCTAAGTTGAGAAGGGAATCTCCCACCTGGTCCGGCAAACATACTATTCCTTATCTTTCCCGCCCACCCACAAGTTCTAACACATATGTTTCAAAACCTTGTGTGGTAGTTCAAGCCTGCTTAGAGGCTTATAAGGCTTCGTGCCAGGTTTCGAGTATTTTCATAGATTTCTCTTGTTCAGTCATTGTCGCCTCCAAATTTGTCATTCTCTCTCATTCCACTCCAGCCTCCCATCATCTGTGCAAAAAGCTTTTAGGGCATTCCACTCAACACTTCTCTTCCCCACCTAAAATTCCCCACTGTCAGCAAACTGCCTAAGGGGAGTCCCTATAAAAGCGGTAAGAGAAAGCAAGGATGCGTTACTGCCTATAAATTGGGCACTTTAAAGGCATTTGTTTTATGACTTAAGACTTTCAACCATGAGTATTTATGCGAAGGGAGCTTCTTCCGGGAGGATAGCCCGGCTTCCTCCTCAGGTTTCAATCCCTAAATTTCCCATGAGTAAAAGAAACATCACCTCATCTCTTCCAAGAGTCCGCTGACGCCTCTCTTCACCCGCAGGTGTTTCTCTTAAGACGTGAAAGCTTTCTAGAACCTCAAACCGCTGAGACTCGCCCCGGTTTTACTCTGGCCCCAGCAACGCTACCGGATTTGTTTTTCTACTTCCCTAGGCCCAAGCCCGCCCATTGGCGTCAAAGCCAACTTTTTACTGGTTCAGGTACGTGCTCGTCTCTGCAGCTAACCAATCAGAACCCCACTTCTTACCCCTGGGATTTGGTAAACGGAAGAGACCTCTCCTGTCCCGGGAGTAGGCGGGACTGGGGATGAGTGACAGTTCGACACTCCAATAGGCAGAGCCCTAGGACCTGCCCCCGTCTGGCTCAAGGGCTGAAAAGAGCGTTGATGCCGGCGGCCGCTGTGAGTCCTAGGAGGCGCTGGCTCCTCTACGGCGCGGAGGAGCGGCTGCTGCTGCTGGTGCCTCTTTGCAGGTGAGTGATTTTGTTTTAGAAAATTTTGCGAACGCTTCCATTTTTTAGTGATGTGATGTTTTATTTTTGGGTGCGGGGAAGGTCAATTTCTTTACTTCCCCCGGTTTAGTCGTTGGTGGGAGTCTGGTGCCCACTCCACCCCTCAAGCTGCGACCCTCACGTATCGCCCCGGTCCCCTTTCCCTTGTCCCTTTCTCAGAATGAGCCTCTCAGGCAGTCACAGTTCTGTTAGCTGAGAGGAAGAGCCCGCCTTGGTAGTGCTGTGCTTATGGCAAGAATAAATAGAAGTTGGTAGGAAGATAAACTCCTGTCTCCTGGACGTCTGAGGCACCGTGTGGCAGAGACTCCAATAGTAAGATCCCCTGGAAGGAAGCAGGGCGATGCCGCTGTCTTTAGGGCTCTGGCAGACCTGGCCCTATCATTTTGTGTAATAGACAGAAAAACTCGAATGGCATGAAAAGAGAAGGAGGTGAATAAGCATATATGCAGTGCTTTCATGTACCATTGTTATCCGGAGCCAAATCTTAAGTTCTTAGAACCACTAGAAATAAAAACGTAAGTGTATTTTCTTCTTTTCTAAGGGACGGGGGCTGGTATTACACTAGACAAGGTCAATGAAATGCATAATTGCAGTTAAGTTCTCAGTTAAGCTTTGAAAGATAGTTGGTTGTTAGCTAACTTATTATTATAACGCCCATTCCCCTACTGCCTCCCTTCCAAATTACGGAAGATCTTTAGCTTGCGAGTGGTACTAGAATGTTAGCTGACTACATGCAGACAGTTTCCAAGGTGGGGAAAAATCAAAAGCTAAATTTCACCTGTAGGTACTAAAGTGTTTTATAGTGAAAGCAGAACTCATGTCAATGTGTCTCTTATTTATTTTTTTTTGAGACGGAGTCTTGCTCTGTCGCCCAGGCTGGAGTGACTGCAATGCTTCGATCTTGTCTCACTGCAACCTCCTCCTCCCTGGTTCAAGCTATTCTCTTGCCTCAGCCTCCCAAGTAGTTGGGATTACAAGCATAGGCCACCACCTTGTAACTTCCATTCCCCCACTACTTCCCTTACAAATTATGGAAGATCCTTAGCTTGTGAGTGGTACTAGAATGTTAGCTGACTAAATTCAGACTTTTTCAAAGGAGGGGAAAATCGAAAGCTAAATTCACCTGTAGGTAGTAAAGTTTTTTTTATAGTGAAAGCAGAACTCATGTCAATTTATCTCTTATTTTTTTGTTTTTATTTTTTCGAGACGGAGTCTCGCTCTGTTGCCCAGGCTAGAGTGACTGCAGTGGCTCCATCTCAGCTCACTGCAACCTCTGCCTCCCTGGTTCAAGCGATTCTTCTGCCTCAGCCTCCCAAGTAGCTGGGATTACAAGCATAGGCCACTACGCCCAGTTATTTTTTGTATTTTTAGCAGAGACAGAGTTTCACCGTGTTGGCCACGTTGGTCTCGAACTCCCGACCTCAGGTGATCTGCCTGCCTTGGCCTCCCAAAGTGCTGGGATTACAGGTGTGAGTCACTGTGCCTGGCCTTGCCATTTATTTTAAAACTGCCTCCCATGAGTCCAGGGAATAGTTCTTTCTTAGCCATCTTGTATTCCAGTAGCACCTCATACACCTTAGATGCTCCCCAGTTGGTGGTGGTCTTTAGAGAAGCATAATTCAAACAATGTCATAGTGGAAGGAGCTCTGAGCTAGAAGTCAAGAACCTTGGCTTTAGTCCTGAAGCTGTTACGATTTGTGTGATCTTAAACAAATCATTTCAACTGGGACTCTTAATTTTTGCATTTTTTTTTTTTTTTTTGAGACAGGGTCTCGCTCTGTTGCCCAGGCTTTAGTGCAGTGGCATGATCTCTGCTCACTGCAATCTCCGCTTCTGCCTCCTGGGCTCAAGCAATCCTCCCACCTCAACTTTTGCATCTTTAGAAAGCAGATGTTGCATTAAATTATATCTGAGGTATAAACTCTGTATTAAAAATCTGTTTTAAAGTAAAAATGATGAGTACGTAAGCAGAATCTCATTGCAGTAAATTCGGTATCATCCATTAGCAAGTAAAAGTTCCCAGCTTCAAGGATATATTCTTGTCTTTTAATTTTTGTGGGTACATAGTAGGTATATATATTTTCAGGTTACATGAGATATTTCGACATAGGCATGCAATGCGTAATCACATCAGAGTAAATAGGGTAGCTGCCACCTTAAGCACTTATCCTTTGTGTTTCAGACAATCCAATTATACTCTTAGTTATTTTAAATTTATAATTAAATTATTTTTTACTATAGTGACCCTGTTGTGCTAGCAAATACTAGGTCTTATTTATCTTCCTATTTTTGTACCCATAACAAGGATATATTCTTTTGTGTTCATATTTAAACCAAACCAGATTATTGTAGAAAATTTGGAGCATACAGAAGTATGATGTGGCAGAAAATGTCACTTTTAATCCCGTCACTCAGAAGCAACCACTGTTAGTGTTTGGGTAGAGCTTTTAGTCTTTCTTCCTCTTTTGCCTTCTGTGGTTGGTTGAGATTAAGAGATATATTTTAAGTAATGACTGATGCATCTAAATTCACCTGACCTTCATCTTTGTGTGTCTGCTGCCTGGAGAACAGAGGTCACAAAAATGTTTGAACCAAATGGTTTCTTGAAACATCCTTGGTATGAAATCTGATACGAAAGATGTTTATATGGGTGGCAAGACAAAAGAGGACAAAAAGTATTACTTAATTACAAAACTCTTTTGGTGAAACTTGGCCACAAATATGGGGAAAACATACTTTATAAAATATAAATCAAATGTTAACCACTTCACTAAAGCATTTGGATTGCAGAATGTTAGTACTTGGTAAGCTTCTAAGACTGTATCTTCCCATCACCTTCTTACAGCCTCCTTCTACCACCTAATTAAGCATCTCTTCTCTAACTCCTCCCTTTGTTTTACTTTATTCCCAGCTTTTACTTTTGCTCATATCATCGACAAAGTAGGATTGCTTTAACAGGCCTGAGATCTGTGCCATTATTTATGAGTTGGTCAAAGTGTGCTCCATTCTGCCTCTCACTTTTTGGTAGAGTGCTTCACCTTAATCTCATTTCATCTTCCTAATAGCCCCCCTGAGAACATTAGTTTCATTATCCTTATCTTTATAGATACGGAACCTGAGGTGCAAAGAATTTAAAAAACTTTTTTAAGATCACATAGTAAGTAGCAGAGCTGGGCTCATATCTAGGTTATTTGACTTTAGATTTTTGGGATTTGGTGAAGCTACTACCCAGGGGAAGACAATGACCAGAGACAAGACAGAGGGGTCATGAGGGGGTGTTGTGGACAACAGTGATGGCTTGCAGGCTGGAAATGCAGCATGCCCTGAGCAAATGCACATCTTGTTACACATGTATATCTCTTCCCTGTGAGTAAGGGGTCCACCTGGTATGGTTTGTTATTCTTGTAACATGCAATCAGTAGGAAATATTAGTAGATGGAAGATTGGCGAATGAGAGGGTTTTAGTGTCTGGAAAACACCTGTGAGTGGTAACATTTGCTCCTGGTAAAAAGATATTCTTGTAACTGCAGGTACAGATGAAAAAGTTTCTACAACGCTTTAGGAAAAGTAATAGATCATGGAACACTTTTAGGTACAGTTGTGTTTGAACTTCTAATATTGAACTCTATTTGGGGAAAGGCACAGTTTGTTAAGGCATTAAAAGACATAAGAAACTGAGCCCTAGATTTCATTTCCCTTGAGAACTGATGCTTTTTAATTTGTTAGAGACATGGTTCTTTTTCTCTGTCCTCAAATAATAGCCAATAGATGGGCTCATTTTCTATGAAATTTGATTCCTAATGCAGTGGAATTGCATTAAAAGTTGCTCAAAGCCGGCCAGGAGCGGTGGCTCATGCCTGTAATCCCAGCATTTTGGGAGGCCGAGGTGGGTGGATCACGAGGTCAAGAGATCGAGACCATCCTGGTCAACAGGGAGAAACCCCGTCTCTACTAAAAATACAAAAATTAGCTGGGCATGGTGGCGCATGCCTGTAGTCCCAGCTACTCAGGAGGCTGAGGCAGGAGAATTGCTTGAACTCGGGAGGCGGAGGTTGCAGTGAGCCGAGATCGCGCCATTGCACTCCAGCCTGGGTAACAAGAGAAAAACTCCGTCTCCAAAAAAAAAAAAAAAAAAAAAAAAAGTTGCTGAAAGCCATACAGTAAGGATTTTGACCAAGGAAAATGTCATCTGAGCGTCTAGCGTAGCAATTGACTATTAAATATATTTAAATGTGAGGTTTGAATCTAAGTGATTCTGGTTCTATTTGTCTTACTGTATATTACTTCAGCATTACATTGCTGACCAAATTTCTTGCTCAAATTTTGGAAATACAAGAAAAACTAAATTTTTAAGTTGGACTTTACCCTGTAGTTTGCCCTACTTGTTCATGAGTTGTACCACTAGGGTCTTAGGCATTATCAATTTTCAAACGCTTGAGGAAGGGAGGAAGCAAAGTTTCAGGAGTGTTAGTTTGGAAGGCAAGATGAGCCTCAGTTTTGGGAGTACTTATAACAGAGGAGCCTCAGTTATGGGAGATATAGGATATGAAATTATATTTCACGTAATTTCATATGTGGAATTATATAGTTTAATGAAGAGCAGGAGTAGGAAGCAGCAGGAAGATGATCCTGCTACATTTGTTGAAAGTACTTAGGGATCTCAAAAATATTAGAGGAGTAACCTTAGTAAATGCTGTGCCTTGTAAGTACATCATTCCTCTGTCTGCTTTTTCTGTCTTGCCAAAAGAATGCTAACCTTGAATCATAATTTTGCATTTCAATTTTATGGTAGCATTTATGGAAAGAATATTACTTGCTTTATAGCTAACTTAGATGGAATTTCTATACATTTATAGTGAAAGGTCTTTGAAAGTTATAAGTCACCTGCAAAGTGTGTTCTTTGAATCATCGATTTGTTTATTGTAAGAGCAATTGCATAGCACCTACTCCTGAGCAAGCGT